AATTAATTAATTTGCTATTATATGAACTGTTACAAGAAAAATGTTGTATTGGTCATTGATTGAAAGAATGCATGATTTTTTTCTCATCAACACCAACCCTATTCCAACCTTTTTAATAAATAAAGAAGAAAGAAATTTCACACATTAAATTCTCACGTGTCATATATTTTATATAATATAAAATAATAAAAATAGACAAAATGAAAAAGTTTTGCTGTTAATTCTTGATGATTTCCTATACCTTGGACTAATTTATTTGAACTAATTTTTCTTAGTATTTATTGTAACAAGACGTGTCGGTTTGGTTACATTTTTTTAAAAATAAACTATTCAATATAGTTGTACGCTATATTAAAATTCTGATGTACTATGTATTTTTTTTCACTAATATAAAAAGTTAGATTAAAAAATTATACGCTTTCCTTTTGTCAAGTCTGTAGATCAGTCGTCCTATATACCCACTATGCGGTCCTGTATTTATCGTATACATATTATATGTGTAGAATTTATTTTATTTATTTTATTTTTTTTATTTTATGTATCCTTCTAAGTCATGTTTTCTAATTTAGGCTAAATACTGTATTTATGTATCGACTCCAATCCAAATTGAAGAAATATATATATATATATATATATTGAATACCATTGAGTGACACATACTTTTACAGTCTGAAATGTAAGAGATATTAACAAATAAATGTAATTATCAAAAGAAAAGAAGTTTTCAATTATCAAAAGTAATAATTTCCTGTGTAATTTAAAAAGACAAAACTAGTAGATACTAAATAAACAGGACAATAATAATAATAACAATAATAATAATAATAATAATAATATACAACGAATTTTCGGCTGTTAAGAAATTAACGAAAATCAGGTTGCTCATTGTCTTGCTAGAGCATCTGTTTCTATGTCTGATTCGATAGAGTGTGATACGTAACAACCCTTCACCTCTCATTACTGATGTACTGATCTTTTATTTGAATAATAATACATGATAAATAAAACATACTCCACGCGGCATTAGAAATAATAAATATTAATTACAAACATTGACATTAAATTAACATTGTCTCAAAGATGCTCACGGTTTGCATTCGGGGAAGACTCTTGAAAATTAAAATAGTATTCTCTATGTTCTAATTTTATATAGTATCCTTAGCATTTTGAGAATTAAATATTTTTAATTTTGACTGTTTGTTTAAATAATAATTTTTTAATGATACTTTTTTATATTTAAATATTACATAAAAATATTATGATAAGCTACAATAATAAATAGATCATATAAAATGTTGAAAATATACATGACAAGATTGGGGAAAAAAATAAAAATAAAAATCCCCTCTTAGTCTCAAATTTTTTTAAAATGCTATATAATGTGAGGCGTACTTCCATGGTTTATTTTTATCTTTTCATTTTGGACTTCATAAGTTTTTTAAGAAAGAATAATTAATATAAATATTTTATCATAATATTCATATTAATTGATGTGTAATCTTATATCTTGTTAAAAAAGTTTACACTATAAATAATTGAAATTGACGATAAAATATTTTAGAAAATATTTTTCTCTTGATATTAAAAATATAATGAGCAAGTAAAAATAAATGGAGAAAGGAAATAAGAGGGAAAATAATGAATAAGTAACTATTAATATATGTTGACAAAAGATGCTGACATTTAATCAATTTTCAACAATTTCGAGTAAAAACTACACATACTGCGATGTCATTACAAACTAAATACCTACATCTTTCGTTTTAATTTTTGTTTTTTTCTTTTTAATTCATTTTAGAAAGAAGATTTTTTGGCAACTTTTATTGGAGTACATTCTATATAATTCAAAAGTTCATTTTTATTTCTTTAAGTATTGTATCAAATTAAAATCAAATAAATAATTCAATAAAAAATAATAGTAGCCCCTTCATTATTTTTAGTTGTCATGTTGCGTTTTTCGAAAGTCAATTTGACTAATTTTTAAAGTTAAATTAGATTACATTATTTCGATATTTTAAACTAAAAATTTAGATATTAGACAATCTTAGTAGCTTAGTTGGTTGACTACCTGAACTCTCACCTTGTTGGTTAGACTTTGATTCCCCATGTGGTAATTCCCTTCCCCATCCCCCCTCAATTTATTTTTTTTAGATATCTTGAAAATTATACAGAAAGTACTATAAATAGCACTTTTTTGCATATCAACCTAATGAAAAAATATATCATCAAATATTAGTCAAAATTCTTATTGTTTGACTCCAAAAAAAATCATCACAACTAAAAAAATACATTATAAAATATTAGTCAAATTCTTATTGTTTGACTTTAAAAAAATATCACAACTAAAAAGAAACAAACGAGTGTATATATATTTTTAAGTTACTTTTTCCTCAGACACGCAAAATACAAGCTAAATATCAAGGTATTATACAAATCACAATCACAAAATTTAATTTCGATAACTTGACAGCCGACGTTACTGACCAGTGACCACCGACCTACCCCACAAAAGTCATTTTAAAACTTAGCAACAAATTAAAAAATAATACAAAACTCCTTTAATTTGACTCCCTCAAAGTCAACCTTACTTATTTGAATCCTCTATATATATAAACAAAAACAAAACCATTTTCCAAACTCATGAAAAAAAAGCCATTTTAATTTCCTCTTAATTTATCATATCAACCTCCAAAATCCAAAAATGGGGAATGGATGTTACACATCAAATTTATTAACAATCAAGGTTATATTTCACGATGGAACGACGAGGATGGTGACCGGAAAAAAGCTAGCTGGAGAGATAATGTTTGAGTACCCCGATTGCATGGTATGTCATGCGGACTCATTTTTCATTGGTCAACCTATTCCATCGTTAGGTATCGACGATAAGCTAAGGAATAGCGATACGTATTTTGTTCTTCCACTTGATTCCTTCACAAACAAAGTGCTTTCGGCTTCTTCTCTTGCTACCTTAGGTAATAATAATAATAATAATAACAACAACAAAAGAGGTCATGTTAACTTCAAGAACCCTGCTTTTGAATATATAAAGGGATCAAATGGTAGAGTTTTGATTAAAGTCGCACCGGAGTTTATGATCAAGTTACTCCAAAGAGGAAATAAGGAGGAAGAGGAGGATTGTGGATCTAGTAGTTCAAGCCCTAATTTTTTGTGTAGCACACCTGAGTTGAAGAAGCATTACGAACAATTGGTTGGACCAAAAGGGCAAATATGGTCACCTAAATTAGATACTATTTCTGAATATAAGATTAGGTATTCACCTTGTAGATTGATTGGATTGGAATGGAGAGAGAAAGAATAGTGTTTTTTTTTTTGTTGTTAAATTGTGATATAATTAGACTCTTTTATTCCTTTTGTTTTCCTTTTAATTTTAGAATTAAAGGCTGATTTTGCATTAATTCTCAGCAAAATCTCAAAATTGTAACTGTCTCTAAGGCTGTACAAAGCAATATTTATTCATTTATATATATGGTGTTAGTTTTTTCAAAGTGAAATGCACAAAAAAAAAAAAAAAAAAAGGAAAAAGGCCAAAACTTTCCTTTAACTATTTGAAATAGAGCAACTATACCTTTCATCTTTATTTTGATTCAATACTATCCTTCCCGTCTTACTATTGGATGACTTCTGCCCTTCCATTTAACGGAATAAGATGTGGCATTCAATGAGAGGGGTTTTGGGAGTGTGGCAACGAAGGAGAAGAGAGGAAGGGTATGGCGGGGATGGACGAATTTTGGAGGATAAAATGAAGTCTTTTGGAGCGAAATTGTTGTTTGTAGAGTTGATGGTGGAAGTGAAGGGGGGAGATTGGATCATTTAGTGGGTAGGGTGGGTGTGCTTAGGTGGACTTCTACATATATGGCATTATAATTTACATATTGAGTGCCACATTTTATATCGTTAATTCCATATCTTATTCCGTTAATGGAAGGTTAGAAGTGATCCAATAATAAGATGAGAAGGGTAGTTTTGAACCAAAACATAGTTGAAGGGTATATTTGCTCTATATATTTCGAATAGTTGAAGGATAGTTTTTACCCTTTTTCGAAAAAAAAATTAATAACCAAATTAGGCATTAGGAATTTCATTTCTTGTTGACGATACCGGTAGGAAAAATAGAGAATCATCGGTTTCATGTATTGAGTAAAAACAATTAAGACGTGTGATACAGTTGAATCATGACATGTGGAGGTTATTAGGAATTACGTTAAGCATAGTTAGATGAAATGATGTGTGATCGAATCAAACATCTAAGCTTGGATTGGTTTTTCTAGTAGCTAAGACGTTAGAACTTTTGGGAAGTGAAAGTAGAATTCGTGATATCAAAGAGTTGGTTTTGAATGTCAAGGTTTGAAGGTGTATGTATTGTGAAAGGGCTGGATGTATTCTTTAAAACACAAATCAGAAGCTTCAGATTGTGATGAAATAAATGTCTTGCATAAGTCACATAAGAATTTTTATGTGTAATATAAACTAGATGAAAGAATCACAAAAATGTTTTTTCATCGGTTATTGTCTTGAATCCAAAGCATACATGTTAAAAAATTGTCCTTGAATCAAAATCAAACCGAAAAGTTCCTCAACTAATGTGGAATGTTTAACACCCTCCGCACATCAAAGAATTTCTAACTAAAGAAATTACTGATACAAATTAAATACGAATATAATTGTCTCTTTGCAAAAACTGTTGCATGAATTAGAATATAGATCCCACCCCTTTCTCTTGTTACCTCTATCACGCTTGATTAATAAGATATCAAAGGAGCCTGAAAAAAAATGTAATAGGCTGCTACTCTAGACTTCTTCAAGCTCCACCTCTTCATTCATAATATCAACAAACATCGCTATAGGTATCAGGTGATATTCGAGCTAACTTCAACCATTTCATCGAATACTTATTACCTTCCTAGCTAGCTTCGGATTCATAGACATCACTATCTTCTGCTATGACTTGGTTTGGCTTCGTTGCCATCACCCCAAAATCAAGCTGGTTCACCCTTTCGAGACTCAGTAGCTTCAGATCCGTCTTCATCAGCAGCTTCAGATTCATCGCCATAGTTAGCTTCAGATTCATCGTCATCACTAGCTTCAGATTCATCACCATTACTTGCTTTAGATTTTTTGCCATCAGTAGCTTTAGATTCGTCGCCATCTTTAGCTTCAGATTGGTAGCCATCGGTAGTGCCTTGTCCTGCCTTTTGTTCCCGGGATCGAGCAGAGAAGAGAGATGACTAGCTCAGTAAATAAAATATTTATTTGGGAAGTAAAAGAAAGTTGCTTCAAGTGACAAACATAAATAACAATCTTAATATTGTTATCACTATTAAGTAGTGGAGTACTAGTTAAGACGGAAAGAGAGCGCTAGAGTTAATTAGTTATACAACTAGAAGAACAAGACAAACCTTAGAATTGAACTTCTGTTGTGTCCATTTATTCAAATCATCAACTTTCACCTCATCATCATGGTTCACCCATTTGAGAATCGGTGTACTCACAGATATTTCCTGTTGTACAAACGTCTTCATTTCAGGGCAATCATCAATCTTCACTTCTCTAAGAAATGGAAATTTAAGAGCATGCTCCGTCAGAAAGAAATGCCTCAGCTTAGGTAGCCTTCCAAGCTGCAGTTCTTCCAATCGGGGAAATACGGGCTCATTAGTCATAATTGTTTTTCCTTGTTGTTCTTCTAGTGTGATCACTTCTTCCATTGATTGGCAGCCTGCTATATTTAGTATTCTGAGATTCAAAACACCTCTGGCCACTGATGGAGACATCAAGTTTCTCAATTTTCCACAATTCCTTACTGCCAATATTACAAGTTTGCTGAAGTAGGCAGTTGGAAGTTGGTAAGAGCATAGAACAGTTATGCTGTTAGCCCAATGGATAGTTAGATCTTCAAGGCTGTGACAAGAAACCTGCGAACGTTGAAGGGATGAAGTAGAATGACATAGAATGCAAGATAACATGAGAAAATAAATGAACATATTAGCTGTTACATATAATGAAAGAAGAATTTAGAATGAGAAGTAGATTCAAAATTTGAAATTTATAGGTATCTCCAATGTCATCAAGTTAATATACAATAATAATCGCATTCGCAATCACGGAGTCTCTAGATATAACTAATACAGATAAAAAGTCTCTGCGCAAAAGCTATTAGGTTCATCTGAACCCTTGGATTACAATACTGTAGATTCACCTATGTTTGTTACCTCCGTCAACATAGATAGATATCAGGTGACAAATAACTATCTGAAGATTACTACTACTATTTGCTTGTTAAAACGCTAAGAGAGCAGTATACCAGGGCTTTATTAATGCATGACACAAATATATATAGTAATCAATAATACTGCTAGCGGCACAAGACAAACCTTAGAATTGAACATCGCTCTATTGAGATCATCTAGTTTCACCTCATTGTCATTGTTCACCCTTTTGAGACACAGTGTACTCAAAGATCCCTGTTGGACAAACGTCTTCATGTCAGGGCAGTCATGAATCCTCACTACTCTTAGAAATGGAAATTCAAGAGCATGTTTTGTCAGAAAGAAATGCCCCAGCTTAGGCAGTCCTTTAAGCTCCAGATCTTCCAACAGTGGAAATAAAAACTCGTTAGTCATTTCTTCTCCTTGTTGTTCCTCTTCTGTGATCGCTTCTTCCATTGATTGGCAGTCTTTTATCTCTAGTATTCGGAGATTCAAAGCACCTCTGGCCACTGACGGAGACATCAAGTTTCTCAATTTAGCACAATTCGATACATACAATTTTTCAAGTTTGCTAAGGTAGGCAGTAGGAAGTTTGTGAGAGCATAGAGCACTTATGCTTTCAGCCCTGTCGAGTTCTAGCTCTTCCAGGCTGGGACAAGAAACCTGCAAATGATGAAGGACAACTTGTATTTTATGTAAGGGATGAAAATTCAAAATAGCTTAAAGTACAAAATAAAAAATGAACCGAACAGAAATAACTATCCAAAGATTACTATTACTATTAACTAGTTAAAATGGAAAGAGAATAATAATTAGCTATATAGTAGCGGCACGAGACAAACCTTAGAATTGAACATCACTTTATTGAGATCAACTACTTTCACCTCATCATCATTGTTTACACTTTCGAGACTTGGGGTACTCACTGATCCCTGTTGGACAAAAGTCTTCATTTCAGGGCAGTCATGAATACACACTACTCTGAGAAATGGAAATTCAAGAGCACGCTTGGCGAGAAAGAAATGCCTCAGCTTTGGTAGCCTTTGAAGCTTCAGCTCTTCCAACAGGGGAAATAAGGGCTCATTAGTCATGATTTCTTCTTCTTCTTGTTCCTCTTCTGTGATCGCTTCTTCCATTGATCGGCAGTCATTTATCTCTAGTATTCGGAGATTCAAAACACCTCTGGCCACTGACGGAGACATCAAGTTTCTCAATTTAGCACACTCCTTTACATTCAATATTTCAAGTTTGCTGAAGTGGGCAGTTGGAAGTTGGTAAGAGCAGAGATCACTTATGCTGTTAGCTCCATTGATATATAGCTCTTCCAGGCTGGGAAAAGAAACCTGCAAACGTACGTTGAAGGGATGAAGAAAAGCAGTAAAGACAGTATTGTAGAGTTTGATATGAAAATTGTAAAGATTTGACCTAAATCAACCCCAAAAGCTAGCTCAAGAGGGGAGGATTGACCAAGTACACATATGCAGACCACCATTCCATTTTCCAACCTATGTGGGACTCTAACATCCCCTTCACATCCAGGCCCAACTGGAATGTGGAGCGAGAGCTAGCTCAGGCTCTAATACAATGTAACAGACAAGGTATGAAGAATCTATGTTACTCGGTCTCTTCAAAAATGTCGATGGGTACATGTTGGATACTCCAAAAGTAGTGCATTTTGGAGAATCCAACACTGGTGCGGCAACAATTTTGGAGAGTCTGAGCAACAAAGTGGAGAATAACTTGATATCTCATTTCAAGAGGAAAGCAATATAACTACATGTACATGAGGTGCTAGATAAGAAAAAAAAATGTTATTATGTACATTCCTAGTGGAGAATTCACTTGACATTACTATATTATTTTAGATCCCATTATTTTAATTAAATTCACCTATTTTTTTGTGAATGTTGATATATGAAAAATATTTGTAGAAAATAAATCTACTACTAATTTTAGGATTACTAAATATTTAATTAGAATTGAATATGATTTTAACATGCTTGTTATAAACTAAAGAGGTATTAATTGGTAGTTCCAATAACTTTCACATTATGAAGCAGAAGATGAATAGTTTTGTTCTATTTTATAACTCAACACAAACTTTATTAAATATAAATATATCAAGTGTCTTGTCTATTATGATCGATATTGATTTAAGTAGATAGTCAATGAATTAATTAAATATGCTATTAATTGTTGTACAACTGAATGGAAACATATTGTTGTTGGCATGTTAGGGTGAATCAAGTGCTTATATAATGCAGATATCTAGCATAATATTTTGTCACATAGTGTCCATTTCACTCTATAAAGAAAATTAAACATGAATGAAACCAATTCAAAGTTATTTCTATAATGGATCAACTTCCTTTGTTTTGGTAACCACAAATATATTTTAAAGTGATATAACTTTTTCGATTCATTATTTTGTAATACAAACTTTAAGTAAAAAATAGAGATCAACGTGCAATGCACGTTCCCAGAAACTAGTTAGTTATACAACTAGAGGCACAAGACAAACCTTAGAATTGAACATCACTTTATTGTTCACCTCATCGTCATTGTTCACCCTTTCGAGACTCACAAATCCTTGTTGGACAAACGTCTCCATTTCACGGCAGTCATGAATAGTCACTTCTCTGAGAAATGGAAATTCAAGAGCATGCTTCGTCACAAAGAAATGCCCAAGCCATGGCAAACTTTGAAGCCTCAATTCTTGCAACAGGGGAAATAAGGGCTCATTAGTCATGATTTCTTCTCCTTGTTGTTCCTCTTCTGTGATCACTTCTTCCATTGATTGACAACCATCTATCTTTAGTATTCGGAGATTGAAAACACCTCTAGCCACTGATGGAGACATCATGTTTCTCAATTTTCCACAATTTGATACATACAATGATTCAAGTTTGCTGAAGTAGGCTGTTGGAAGTTGCTGAGAGCATAGAGCACTTATGCTATTAGCTCCATCGATAGATAGCTCTTCCAGACTGAGACAAGAAACCTGCAAATTTATAAATTAGTTATCATTTTTTTTGTTGAAATGATAGGTCACATAGAGCAGTAGAAGAAGACCTTTTCATCAAAAAGAGGATTTGAGTGAGTGATGGAGTTGTTGGTTGTAGGTAAGAAATTTTGAAACTCTGGTAACTCAAAGAAGCTCATTTCCCGTAACCGAGGGAACTCAATGCCCTCAACACAGTCACTGCAAAAGTGAGTGAGGCATTCCAGAGAATGAAGGTCCAATTCATATAAATTGGGGAACTTGATTACTTCACGAGTCCTCCGAGAGATCTCCTCTTCCTCATCATTAGGGCAAACTACTGTCCAACTCCCTCCAGCCAAGGGCACACAAAAAACATTCTGTAGACCGCGACAACGGCTTACCTCCAGTCTTTCGAGTTCAGGGAATGGAATATTATTCTGACAGTGGATCTTTAATAAATGTGTCAATGAATCACAATCATCCAGGAGAAGATATTTCACGTTCTGAAATTCATTCAGCTGCAACTCTGCCAGCACATTCTTGGAGCCCTCTCCAGTTGAATGTACAAGTTCGCTCTTCCTAAGCTTGTGGCAGATCCAATCACCCAATGGGGTGGTCTCAGTGACCTCTAAAGAAATATTCTTGTCGTAATCATCTATGGTTGAAGTCGTTTTGTAAGCTCTACCCAATGTAAGAGCGTACCGTGTCAACTTGGAGGAAAGGCCCAAGTTATTGTAGATCACATCTCCGGAACATTTACTTAATGTCAGTGCAGTCAATCTCGATAAGGATTCCAGCTCTCTTAAGGTGGAGTAACTAAAATGTTCTACTCCCACCATATGTAGTTCCTCCAATCGTACGAGTCTTGATAAGACACCTGGTGAAATCCTTTCAAGTTCTACTTGCTTATAATTCCGCAGCTCTAAGATAATTAGATTGGTTAATTTTCCTATCTCCACCGGCAACTCCTCTAACTGAGAATCTTTGATGCTGAGAATTTCTAAAGTGACAAGTTCCCCAATAACGGATATGTCATCCAACCTTAATTTACTCAGACACAGCGTCCTCAGACTTGACAACCTCTGAATGGATCCTGGGAGAGGCCAAATGGACTCCTTATATCTGTCTCCCCTCATGCTTAATACATTGAGTTTACTCATGCCATCAAAAAAATCGTCCTGTAATTTGAATGGCTTTTCAAAACAGAGTTTTAACATTAGAAGCTTCAGTTTTGGGCAAACGATTGGTCTAGGAAGCTCAGCAAATTTATTTGCAACAATTGACATGTGACTGAAATGCTCATAAGAAATTCTTCTTGGGAACTCTTCCGAGTTCACATTATGACTTACCATAAAGATATGCTCTCCTTCAGACGCAATATATATAGCCACATCACGGACCACATCATGCATTTTGACATAATTTTTGTCCGAACCTTGGGATAACAAGAAGCAACCTTTCAGTGTTTCTAACAGAAGACACACTCTATTTCTTGCATGTTCTAAATTTTCGATTTCCGAAAAGTTGCCAAGCCTCATTACATACCTAAGTAATTCTTCAGTCCAAATATCACTATCTTCCTCGAACAAAGAACAAAGCAAAAAGAGGTACTTGGCTTCATCACTTTCCAAGTGATCATAGCTTAGCCTCAGAATTTTATACACCTTTGTGTGCACTCCAGGGATATTTCTTGTTTTTGCATCACGTAATTGTTTTAGGGCATCCTCCCATGAAGGCTTGGTTTTATGCTTTAGTGCTCCTGCAACTGTAATAATTGCAAGCGGCAACCCCTTGCATTCTTTGGCAACATCTTTTGCTATGTCAAGGAGAGAAGGATGATCAACTAAATTACCGGCTTTCTGCCTAAAAAGAATCCATGCTTCATTTTCAAGTAAGGTTCCAACTTCCATGAACTTCTGAGCTTCCATAGCTTCACAAACATCTCTCAGACGCGTAGTCAATGTCACTTTGCACCGATGGTTGTGGTTGCTACCCCTGGGAATTCCAAGTTTCTCTAGATCATGAAGAGCCTCCCAAACATCATCCAAGATTATAAGAACGCGACTGTTCTGATCCTTTAACCTTGAACGCAGCCGATCTCCACGACTCCACAAATTATCCCCTTCTAGTGTCAGCCCGACTTCTCTTGCGATCTCACCCTGAATTCTTTTGAAGTCTGGTTGTTGACTGACAGTTACCATGACAACATCATCAAACAACCTTTCTTGTTTCGCCCTTGCTCTTATTTTCTCAGCCAGTGTTGTCTTACCAACACCACCCATACCACATATCCCAATCATGTTGACCCCATCATCTCTCAAAGCTGCCATGACCTCTTCCTCTTGCAATTTTCTGGAGTCAAATTCTTCAGTACTGTTACTAGAAATAGCTTCAATTTCTACGACAGGATAGCAGAAATCATCATGCTTGTTACCTTCATTACGAAGTTCAATCATCTCCAGGGTAATTTTCTTGGCTCTCTTGCTCAGCGAGTAACGTGACTTCAAGTTTGGACACCAACCATATCTTTCAACCTCAATTCTACCTCGTTGCATCACAGCTGCCACATCTGCAGTAGTGATATCAACACTAGTTAACCAAGCCTCAACATTGGGTGAAATGACTTGTAAGTTTCTCCGGGCAGCCTCTGCTCTTTCCTCCACGCCGTGTCTGATATTCTCCAGCTTCTGAGATTCTTCATCCAGAGATGTGATGTTGCTCTTGTAGTAATAGAAATACCCAATCCCTCGCGCAACTGGCTGGATCAAGCAATCTGTGATCATTTTCACAAAAATAGATAAGAATTCCATATCTGATCAATTAATTCTTCACTGGCTAGTGTAATAAAGAAAAGCAACCAAAGTTGTTTTTTCTGTTTTGCTTCAATTCTATGAAAAAGGCTAATAACTTCAGGGCCCAGTCAAGACTTTTCTTCCCCTCTCTTTTAGCCCAATAATTCAGCAAGTATATCTAGAACAGGATGAATATTAATAGTAGCTTGGCTCCATTTAATATCAATTAAATATGATTCTATGCGTTCAAATTCACTTAATTTTTAAAAATTTATCTATACAAGTCACAAACTTGCAATTCAATTCAACATTCATATGTTTACCTCCATATTCTCCCTTCTCTTTTAGAAGAGATAAATACTTCCTTTGTTTCAATTTGGTTGTCCTGGTTTGACTTGGTATAAAGTAAAATTTTGTGATATTAAAATTAAAGAATATGCAGATCTTGTGGCCTTAAACATATCATGTGAAAATTAGAATTAAAAAAGTTATCAAAAAAGGATGAAGCCATTTTTTAAAAACAGACTAAAAAAGAAAATAAGACAAGCAAATTGAAATCGGGAGAGTAACAAATAACCAAGAAAAAAATGAAAGAAATGTATGGCTGTCAAACTGACCTTGCAATATTTGTTTAGCCTAAAATTTATTTTCTGTTAATGCTCTCTTGAAAAGTTCTTTTAATAACTGGTTATGCAATTAAAAAAAAAGTGGTGTAAATCTTAATGAAATAATGATAATAATATTATTGTGTAATGATGTGAAATAAATTGAATGATGCTCAAAAATACTTGAGGTACTACTTCATTATTACTCTCACCCACCCATCCAACATCCTGTCGCCTCTTAATTGTTTTGAAATGATGAATGATAACTAAGTAATACCTTTTGAAACTAGCCAAATTGCGTGAAAGCACGCACAAACACCACAATTATAAGAAATATATAACTGACAACACAATTGCACAATGGGAAAAAAATAAATAAATAAATTAGAAGGTAGTTGTTGACAACACAAGACTATTGTATAGAGGGCAATAGTCTACTTGGTTCATCCACCTAATAAATTTGTATTTGTTACATAATGTATGTAGACACATTTGGGTGTAGTGTACATAGCTTAGGAAATATGTAGGGATATTATAGAATATATCCTGGATCTTTTCCTATTTAGTTTCCTTAATTAAAGCTCAATGTATTTGTATATATTCATCTTACGTAACCGAATAATACACAAGTTATTGTCCAAACATTAGCTATTACATTGTATCAGAGCCATGGTAGATCTGTTGCTGGTGTTAATCGGAATATTTGTCGGAGGCACTTCTGGGCATTTGCGAGTTGGGTTTAAATGGTCACCTTCTACCTAGGGTGGATTGTCTTCCCAGATTAGCAGAAATTCAGATTGTTTTCTATGGTCGGTGAGGAAGAAAGGGAGCCTCACGCACCGGTAATAGATTTTTCGGTGATCTTCTGAGGTGGCACGTGTGGGCACGTTCATTGTCAGAAATAGATCTGATTGCTTTTTCGGGTTTATCTCAGCATTTTCAATCAGGACTTGATAATATCTGGTTCGAACAATCTCGATTTGTGAGAGCTTTGTTGGTTGCAGACTTGGCTCAGGTTCTTTATTTTCCATCAGTTGATTTACTCTGTTATTTGGCTGCTTGATAACATTGGTTGGAAGCTTCTGCTTCGTCTTTGATTGTTTGTTAAGAGTTGGGTGTCAAATTTTTTCTCCTTCTCAACTCCTCAATCTTGTTTTCACATTGAATTTATCAAGTGGGTGGACTAGTATGCTTTCAAATTTCATAGTTAAGCAAAGTGATTATTTTTTCTTGGCCTGGGTTCAATCTATTGGTTATTGAGTTGTTGGTGGTCCAACTTGATTCATTTAAAGATATTAATATCATTTAGTTGGAAAATGACTCAAACAATTAATCTTGTCAAATATTATCACGCCCCGAAGTTATCCCAGGGCGTAAACACGGGACCTAGGATCACGAGTGACTCCAAACTAACCCTGTTGGCATATCATAAACATACTTAAAGATTTTCAACATAAAAGTCATATTGTGCAGAAGCTAGAACCATATCAGAAAATGAAATGATGGGAATACCCATTCTAAGTCTGAATCTATATAACTGAGTTTAATGACAACGGAAAGATCAAGCTCAACTAAAATTGAATCTAAACTATGTCTGAATAAGCCTCTAACTGACTAGAGATGCTGAGACATGTCCCCAGCTAACTCTAGCAAAACTGAAACTAAAAGACTGAAAATGAAAAGATAACATGTCACTCGTCCTCAAAGAATGAGGACTCACCAGTAATGCTGCTGAACTGGAGATCGGGAACCGATTTATACGTGATCTGAATGCTGAGGACCTGAACCTACATTATGAGAAGATGTAGCGCAGAGTATGTGTCAGTACTTGAAAGGTACTGAGCATGCATGATAGAATAAAGCTGAATAAAACATATAACTGAACAAGGCGATTAAAGTAGTGATATAAACTGAACATGATAAATATGCTAAACATGCTGAATATGAACTAACTGAATGTAGTGATCAAGTTTATAATATACTAAAACTAAAGACTGAACTGTAACTGATAACCTGGCCAATACACTAGAATCTGACTGTGAGAGATACTAATTACTGACATAAAACAACATGAGCTAAATGTGGAGTCTGATGTATACGCCCCATCGAGAGGACCCAATATACCTTGTCAAGGGTATAGAGGCATGGCTGACGTGATCACTAAGTATAATGCCCATAGAGGGGGCTTAACCTACGGGAGCACGTAGTTCTTGGACTATGAGGGTGACTGACCCTAGTCCAACTCGGTATTAAGTCTACTCCCAATTGAATGTATAATACTACAACATCACTAAAATAACTGGATAGCTCAAATACTGACATGCTAACTAAAAATGCAGCATTAATGTACTGATAATGAAACATTCTTAACTGGAGCATATATATCTGTATAAACTGACCTAGCAAGTGTAACTCATGAACTAAACTAATCTACACCACTAGGGTTCTGAATATCACGCAAGGAATGAAACAACAATATGGAAATCTGATTTGGATAATTCTAACAGCTAATATCCAACAATTTCTAACATTCAAGAAAACCCTAGGTCTAGATAATATGAAGGGAATCAAGAATTAGACTGAATTTTAGGGACCTAATGGGTGAAAAGAACCCACTAGTGAAATCCCACATACTTGGTGATGAATTCCACGGAAAAATCTTTCGATTTTAGGGCTGAAAATAACGAGAACTTGCTGCGTTCTTGGAAGGGTTTGGGTCGCCTCTTTTCTCCTCTCTTCGTTCTAAGTTTAAGAATTTTGGAGAATTAATTGACTTAGGTAAGTTCTAGTTAAGTTACTTGGCTAAACCTGACCAAAACTACATAGTTTAGGGGTTAAACGACGTAGTTTAGAGGTCCAACACATAGGGAAAAGACCAAACGACCCCTGAATTAAAAGTTGTCGGAGGTCATCGACGGACCAGACCGACGGACCGTGGATGGTCCAACGGTCCATTTTGGTCGGCTGTAGAATGGCGACTGGGAGCTGGAAACTGGGGGGGCCAGAACCACGGACCTAGACCATAGACTGTGGTCCCATCTACGGTCCGTGAGTCCTGCCGTTGGTCGAGTCTTGATGAATTTCTCTTGGGGTTCTGGGATGGGGTTGCATGTGGTCAATCCACACACCCCACCTATGGTCCGTGGGTGGCGACGGTGGATTGCACTTGCAACTTCTGAAAATTTGCTGTTAGGTCTGTTTTCGGATATGGGGTGTTATAAATATTATCATTATTTAGTTGGAAAGTGACTCAAATAACTAATCTTGTCATTACATCTGGTCAATCATCTTATCAAACAATTTTGGTTTCTATGGAGAAGTTTAATAAGTTCTTGAAGTATCAGAATCAATAAATGAATCTATTTCAAAAATCAACTATTGTTATCATTTAGTTGGAAAATGACTAAAATAGCTGATCTTGTCATTACATCTGGTCAATCATCTTATCAAACAATTTTGGTTTCTATGGAGAAGTTAAATAAGTTCTTGAAGTAACATAAATCAATAAATGAATCTATTCCAGTTAATATAGAGTCAAGTAAAACATGTATTGTCTCCTCTTCAAATAAGTGGGTTATTGGTACGGGTACCACTGATCATATGACCGGTAATCCTAATGTATTTTCTAGCTTACAATCACACAAAATACTTTCTCCCGTTAAGGTAGCTAATAGTTCAACTTGTAACATTGTCGGATCTGGAATTGTTAAACCAACCTCTTCTATGACTTTGTCATCTATATTGAGTTTACCAAAATTAGACTTTAATTTGATATCTATGTAACACCCTAGAGAATTTTCGAACTAAGACTCGAGCCGTCCTTTATGTGGAGTGAGATTTTACCGAGGAATAAAATTTCTTGAGTGTTAAGTTAAGATCCCTAGATGTAGCACATTGAGTTCCAAGAAGAGTTGAATTGGAAATAGTCATTTTGGAAAGAATCTGGAAAATTTGGCTATGGAAAAAAAGTGAGTTTTTGGTCAACTTTGAGCAGTCGTAACTCCTAGCTCAGAATGATTTAGGCGAATTTCCAGTTATTTCTGGAAAGCCCTTGGAATGATCTTTCCAACGCCGCCGAGTTTGCTTGATTCTGAGTTCGTATGAGTGAGTTATGCCCTTTGGAAGTTGGGCTGTCGGCACAGTCGCACAGTCGCACAGTGCAGTTTGTTTAGTCCGAAAATTTTAAGGGTATTTTGGTCTTTTCCCTAATAATTTCTTTGGGTTATATTGAGGTGTTAGACTGATGTTTGGATCATTTTTGTCCCATTTTAAAGAGTGAGAGTAAGAGTGAGAGTTAGGGCTTGGAAGATAAGAGAGAAAGAAGAGGAAAAGAAGAGGAGAAAGAGAAGAAGAAGCTAAGGATCGTCGTGGATTTT